AAGTTCCTGCCCGACATCCAGCGCCTGACCCTCCTCCCGTCCGGCCCGCGCTACGCCTTCGACCTCATCCTGAAGCTCGGCGGCAACCTCAACTCCCACGGCGGCATCGACAGTGCTGACGCCGGCGACATAGCAGCCCGCCGCGACTTCTACAACAGACTCGACGAGACCATGGTCGATGTCGTGCAGCGCCGCTTCGGCGAGGGCGAGGGCTGGGACGTCAAGCGCGAGATCAAGCGCATCGAGAAGACGGCCAGCTACCTCAAGACCTACGGCGTCGAGCCATACTTCCCCTCAACGCTTGAGATGATGAAGCGCGAGATGGAGTTCCAACCGCACCCCAACGGCGGTGTTCCCAATGGCGGAACAGGAACCCCACCGCGGTACCATTAGATCTCTTGAGGAGTGTGAGCTGGAGGTGTGCTGACAGTCTGTAGTCCGAGAAAGTTGACCGAACAAGAGAGGCTGGCGAAACTGGCAGAAATCCAGCAAGCCTATGAGCAGTTTCGAAGTGCGAGCGACAGCTTGAGCCAATTGCATTCGTTCGTCAAAAGGAAGCCCGGGCGCTCTTCGGGGCCTCCCCCGCCGCTCCCTCCACGGCCTCCGCCTCAGCCGCCTACGAGACCTGCCCCACCTCCACCCGGATCTATCTCGGATCTCTGTCTTGGTGGTGATGGCCCTGCTGTTCCCGGCCCGGCTGCTTGATGAAACTTGTACTTAATACTCTTGATTGAACGAATTTCCTTGATGTGTTGCATGATGCGGGGAAGGGAAGGGATTGGGGGCAAATTGGGGTGTGGTTCTTCTTCTGCATCATACCCGAGCATTTATGGTAAATGGCGGCGTTTTGGGAATTGGGTAGCCTCCTGCATGTAGCTCGCGGCGTACATTTAGTATAGTTGTCGCTTCTTTTGAAGTAGTAATTGAGAACATGACTGAAGATTTTGGGTCTGCAGCCTGCATCGATGCAAAGTGAGTGATCCAACGTCAACGTAGGCTCCAGGGTGTTCGATTTCTCGCTTGGATGCAGTGGGAGGTTTTCAGGTTTTCAAAATCTTGGTTGACTGGATTGCATGCGTCCAAAACACCGTTCGCTAGAAACATGGTGATACGCTCGCAGTTTACACCCTCTGGTCCGCATTATGGAAGGAACGAACCCGATGTGTACATGCACTCGCTCAGCTTCTTTGCGGAAATCAGGTGTAGCGGCTTGGCAACAGTGTGTCTGTGTATAAAAGATCTACCTCTGCGGCTTCCTCTCTTCTCCTTCATTATCTCAGTCTGGGTGTGGCACTCCAAAAACACCAGGGAAGCTGAGCATGTGTTCTGTCTGCTCCTCCTTTTCCAAAAGAATCATGACAGAGTTGTATGTGGGATTCTGCTCCTTCCTCTCTTTCTCTTCTCTGAAAAGATTGAAATCCACATGGCGTATGGCACATGAGTCCAGAAAGAGATTGCAGAACTGTTGATGTTGCGATCTTCGAGATTGGCGAAAATCAAATTGTCCGCATACCTCAAGATGTTTTTCGGGTGTTCCAAAACATGAACATGCTCTATTCATGTGGGCGGCGGTGGAATTCTGGGTCTTGGAATGGTCCAAAAGAGTTTGACTTACTTTGGATGACTTCCCTGGTAGCATGTACGCTCTACCATTCTTTCGGCGCGGCGCTGTTATGAGAGATGGGTATAAAGTCCACTCTTCTGCACCTTTGAACCTTACTTCCTAGACCACACTTTCTTTTTAAAACACCAAAAGTGCTGCAATCCGCAAAAATGATTGTGCTGTCTTTCTCCAAATCAAACGAATCGATGTTCATGCTATGGTGGCTCTCTTCCTCTTTCCTCTCTCTGATCCGAGAAAGACGGGAGTATACCAATGTACCCAGAACCGTCGACCACAATTCGTTGGTCTTCCTTCTTCTCAAACACATTTTCAGAAGAAGCATCAGAAATGACTACTGGCAGATGTCATGGAGATCGTTGGTGTTGCGCTGGCTGGACTTAGAGCGTGCTACACACAAAAAAGGCACAGTTGTGACGAACATGTTGGGAGAAAGAGCAGAGAAGTTGACGCACTGAACTTCCAGCGCCATCTCGGTATGCATACCGCGTTTGAGAGGCAGTGTAAAAGCTCTTCCGAACTTTGATCTTCTTGTCTCGTTACTTCCTCTACGATCTCTTCCGATTTACCAAATGTACGCCAAATTCGGGTTATGTTCTGCCTCTCGTTTTTTTTTCTAAAAAAGAAAATGTTCGTCAAATTCCCATCACCAAAATTACTGGCAAACCTTCGCATGTCTCTTTGTCGTCTTTGCTTTTCGTACTTCGAAATGCCGAGTGCAGCGCTGCATGCACCGTAGTATCGGACAGAATTGTTCAAAACATGGTGGAAAAAGTCTTATGTCTTCCAAAGACTCAACTTCGCATTATTTCAAAGTCTACTCGGCTGTTTAGGAAGAGTCTCTAAAATCAACGCATCTGACCTGGATGGCTGTTCGGAAGAAAAAGCGTGGTTGGAAGAGGATATGGAGTCTCAAAACAGCCTTGTTGGCACGTATTGAGATGTTTGTCGCGGACCATTATAAAGGCTCCACTGGTTTCTCTCTTCCTACCTTCTCTACACCTTAGTGCTCGAAGTGCTTTCCTCAAAACACGGTGCGCCGCACCTTATGGGTTCTCCTCTTCGAAAAGGACAAAATCGACTACCGTAGTCACCTCCCGCCTTTGTTTATCCTCTTTACAAAGAACCAAGCTTGGGCATAACGTATGATCCTTCCGCTCCTCTTTGTTCGAAATTTGATGTCCTGTTGCACTAAAAGAACCCAACAAACAGGATATGTTCGAGAAGGCAGCAAAACTGAACCTGAGCAACGCTATGGCTCGCCTGCGCCCTGCGGTCTTCAAATGCGAAACAAACTGTACAGCCTGGACATCTGCATACGCTTGAGTGCTGAGGGTCGCACCGATGTCACAACGCATGTTCGAGTGGGATCTGTCGCAGTGACCTTTGAACAGTTTTGCAGGGCGCAGGGAAAAGGATGCAATGTTTACTGTTCACTGTTGTCTTGTTATCTCATACGATCAACTCTTTCTTTCTAAACTACCAAAACAGCATGGGTAGAGTACCATGATCTGCTCCTCTCAAAACAGAAGATTCAGAAACCTATGGCTTAGCGCTTTGCTCTCGACATCTACAAACATACAAGCGCTATCTAGATGCTCTCGCCGTCGCGGACTCCGCTCTTTAAATAATTACGTTAAAAATTTCACATCACCTACCTGCTTCATCGCTGCTTCTGCCTTAAAATGAGTCAGGCGGTGTCACCACATCACTCAGACGCTCAGCTCTGATCTGTACTTCCAAAGATCTCGATGTCGAGTTCCATGGAAGAAGGAAGACAACCTCCGCGAAGACATCTAAAAATGAACTTGATAGTTATCGCATGCTTTCGACAAGCTGGTGTGGACAAACGCGTGTTGCAGACATGGCGGCCAACGTCACACGGCAGCGGCAGTAACGTGCCTCTGTGCCACAAGCATTTGGGAGCCTACGTTAATTTTTCCAGGCGTCCAAAGCAATCAAAAAGATAATATAGTCGTCAGAGTGATGCGGTGTCTTGCCTCGCCGCGAGTGACCCTGGGGGTTCGTTTAGGCGGCCTGTAGTAACTCTCTAGACACCCGCAATCGACAGTTTTCGACGACTTGCCTGATAGGGAAATGCGCTACAGCTACACACTAGCCCAGCAGGGCTTAGCACATCCTTGCGCTCTCATCCAATGCTCTAGTCTCCGACCACCAGACTTTATCACTCAAATAAGCAGGTTCAACACGATGGCTTCGACAGCACAGTACGCTTGTGGGATTTGCAGGGAGCGCAAAGTCCGATGCGATCGCGCGCTTCCAAAATGCAGACGCTGCGATCGTCTCAAACAACCGTGTGGTTATCAAGTGCACTCGCGTCGCACACGCGACGATCAGCTCAAACAGCTTCAGGAACGGCTGGCCAGGACGGAGGCTCAGCTTGCTCTTACCGCGCAAGATCTCTCCACGAAGACCACACCTCAGGCGCAACCTGCTCCTATCTTAGAGCATACGGCTGCTAGCACTCCGATGGACCTGGATAGTGCCAGAGAGGCGAATGCAGTCGTTGCAAATGGTTCACCTGTTCCGGACGTTGATTTATTCTCTTCTTTTGCAGAAGACATGGAATCACATATGACATTCGACTGGATGAATCAGCCGCTGGCGGCGCTCGAACCAATGGATGATTTGCTTCTCAGTCAGCCTCAAAGAGTGTCCCAGAGCGGCCCAGAAGAAGATATATCTCCGACCGATCTAAGTTCGCTGCAGAATCGCTACTTCACATCCGCATACTATTCCTTTCCGTTCATAAACAAAGACAGGTTCATGGCAGAGTCAACTGTTCGCGATGGCCCTTCAGTGAATGCTTTGGTCTATGGTGTTGCGCTTGCGGGTTGCTCTCACACCACCCCTGAAGACTCCAAACGACAATCGACATGCTACAACCTAGCGCGTGATTACGCCGAGATATGCGAGCGAGAAGACTACATGAGTGATCTCAACTTCCTTCAAGCTTTGCTGTTGATAGGCCGTTTCGAAGCTATGAGCCGGAAGCTGGAGAGAAGTTGGCTGACTTTAGGACGCGCCGCTATGCTTTGTAGGCTTTTGAGGCTACACCGCATGGACGAAGTCAGCCATGATCAAAGTACTGAGAGTGGAGAAAGCCAGAATAGCTCTCTTTTCAGTTTGCCGCATACTGAAGATCCGGTACTACTGGAAGAGCGACGGCGCACATTCTGGGGCCTATACATACTGGAAAGCTACGTGAAAACACGTAGCGGATTGCAGTGTTAGCTGGGAGACGTCAAGGTACGAAATGTGAACCTTCATGCTTTTTAGGTACTGACACAGTATCCAGGACTTTCGGATCAACTTGCCATCACCAGGCCTGTTAAATTCGAGGTTAGAACCGCTCAAGATGCCTTCTGTTCTAGACGTGGGTACCAAACCCGGTCTCGAGATATCGTCCTACGCAGGCTGCGTTCTAATGGTCGAGCTAGCCTTGCGCTGCTTCGACCATGGGCAACAACGTGACAGAACAGGTTTCTGGGACGATTACTACGCCCTAGTCAAGAAGACTGATGACCTCTTCGTTCTCCTCAAGCGTCATCTCAACGCGACTTCCATTCGTGAAGACCCCGTAGCCTTCAGCCTCTACATGAATTTGCGCGCGACTGAAATCTTTTCTCATGAATCAGCTATCACAAAGATCGAGGAACAAGGACTACCGTCATCGATGATAACCGAGAGCCAACGTCGCTCTATCGCCGCAGCTTTCCAAATATGCAGCGCGGTAGGGCTTAATCTGCCATCGCCGCGCAAGGAAAGCAGCGATATCATCATGTTGCAAGCTATCTTCATTGCCTGGCCTTTGACTATGGCACTAAAAGCATTACACCGCGAACTCGTCAATGGCGGGGGAAAGGCGACTGCCTGTGGTGTGGTCGCTTCAACGCGCTTGCTTTTCGCGGCTCTAGATCACATTGAAGAGTCGGAAGGTTACTGGCACCAAAGCGTAACGCATCTTGGGGCTAAGCTGCAAGAATGGGAAGAAAAGAACGGGTTGGAATCGGTGGCTCTGTGACAACTTTCTAGAGTCTCTTTGGTGTATAGGACGAAAAAGCGGGCGATGTTGGCGTCATGACCGCTCATGATTACCGCAAACACTCTAGTAATTCACAGTTCATCTGACCCAGATCAGGTTTCTTCGATGCAATCCTCTCCGTCAGATGTCCTACTTCTTCTTTCGGTCGTCATATTCCACAGATCAGTATCCTCGGGAGGAGGTGGGCCGCTCGGACTCCGTGTCCGTGTCCGTGTCCGCCCCGTCTGAACACCTCTACGGTCGTTATAGTCTCCTTACAACCCTTCGAGCTTATCTCTGTTCTCAACATCCCTTTTACATCTTACGAAGCTATCTCGAGCTCAATCGAAATTGTGTCTACGTCTGCGAAAGGCATATTCCATTGAGCACTAATTGAATCCTTCAGACATGGACTACACAGGTACACAACCGAGCCCGAACGACTTGAATTGCGAGAAGAATGCAGCATCGGCAGATTTGAGTACTCAAAGCGCACCTGCCGACGGCGTCACTACAACCGACGGGTCAAGTCCTCGTAAAATCCATGGTTGGAAGGTAAGCAAGCCACCAGCACTTAATCGCATACATTCCATCACATCCAGTATGAATGCTAATACAATACGTTTTCTTCCGTCTAGTGGGCAACCGCATACTCCGCCATGCTATCAACAACCCTCCTCTTCGCCCTCGACAACACCATCGTCGCCAACATCCAACCCGCCATCATCGCCGACTTCGGGCACCTTGAGCTCCTAACATGGATCGGAACGGGCTTCGCTCTCGGCACCATGTTCATCCTGCTCTGGGGAAAGATCTACGGCGTCTTTAACATCAAGTGGGTGTATATCTTCAACATCTTCTTGTTTGAAGTCGGCAGTTCGCTTTGTGGTGCTGCGCCGAATATTGAGGCGCTTATTATTGGGAGGGTTGTTGCGGGCGTGGGGGGCTCGGGCATGTACTCGGGTACGCTGACGTATGTGTCTGTTCTTTCGGATGAGAAGGAGAAGCCGGCGTATCTTGCGGGGAGTACGGTTGTTTGGGGGGTTGGTAGCGTGCTGGGCCCAGTGGTGAGAACAACCCTACAACTTCGTCCTTACCGGATGTATGCTAACTTTCCACCATTAGGTCGGCGGCGCCTTTGCGGCAAGCAGCGCCACTTGGAGATGGGTATGTTGTTTCGTCTTTCCATCTTCGCATTCTGGCCATTGAGGCTGATCGTTTACTAGGGGTTCTACGTCAACCTTCCCATTGGCGCGCTCTTCGCACCCGTATACTTCCTCCTATTCCCCAGTATCGACCCCTACCCTTCCAAGACGCTCGCCGGGAAGCTGCGCCATGTCGACTGGGTCAACGCCGTCATCTTCCTCGCTGGTTCCGCCTGCCTAACCGTTGTGCTCACCTTCGGCGGAGTAATCTACCCGTTCAGTTCCGGAATTGTCATCGCCCTGTGGACCATCACGGGCGTTCTGCTTGTCGTCTTCATCATCACGCTGAAGTTTCATCCGCTCGTTACCAAAGAGAATCGATTATACCCGATGCATTTTTTCAAGCAACCGACATTGATCAACATGCAGCTTCAGGTGTTTCTATCCTCTGGTATTATCCTGGTAAGCTACCTACGAAGTCCATTGAACACAATAGCTGACTTGCCCCAAGGCTATGACTTACTACATACCGCTCTATTTCCAATTCGTGAAAGGTGATGGCGCACTCGAGGCAGGCGTTCGACTCCTACCATTGATTATGTTCATGGTCGTCGCCTCAATGGTGAATGGCTTTTTAATGCCCAGATATGGCTTGATACCTGTCTGGTACATCGGAGGTAGCACACTGGCGCTCATTGGCACGGCTCTGATGTGTAGGATTTTCACTCCATCCAACTTCCAAGTAGATCGGCTAACGGCTTTCGCAGACACCGTCGATGATACTACTGCCAATGCCAGCATCTATGGCTATAGCATTCTCGTAGGAGCTGGTACAGGGTGTTACATCGTCGCAGGTTTTGCCATTGTGCAGTCTCTGGTTCCTGTTCATGAGATAGCCAACGCCGTTGGTGCCATGACCATCAGTCAAGACCTCGGAATGGTTCTCTTCCTCGCCATCAGCGGCAGTCTCTTCCACAACGTAGCGGTCGACAAAGTCGGAAAGTCACTCCCAGACGTCTCCCCCATGGAGATTGGCAACCTCATCGCGGGATCAAGCAGTAAGGCCTTCCAAGCACTGTCCGATGAGGAGAAAGCTTTGGTCATCCCTGAGATAGCCAGCGCAATGACCAGTATCTGGGCTTTCTTTCTTGCTGCTGCTGCGCTGAGCGTGGTATGCTCGGTTCCATTGCTGGTGAGTTCTAACCAAGATTTGCCTTTCTTCCGCTGGATGTTGTTTACTGACGTCCACGACAGAAAGCCAAACTCGGTAATGGAAGAAAAGGTGCTGCGATCCCTGCAGCGTGAGATGCAACGTTACTGTAAGTGCACATGTCAAGCGAGGAGAAGCGTCTCGATTGGTGGTGGCTTCCATTACAAGATATACTTCTCTCTCCACTATCAAACCAGGAAATCGTGATCTATCCGTTGCATAATCTATCTGTTCCCATGATCAGTGAATCCCTGAAGTATACGGCACCCACTGCACATATGGGCAGCAAATCCTGAGGCGGAGATTTCGTGATGCTGAATCTAGATGCATCCGCCCACGATCCGCCCTGGCTGACTGGTGAGAGGGGTGGATCCAATAGGCGACCAATAGACAAAGAGCGGCCGTTTGTGTCCGTTCTTGCATGCCTTCTCATGGCTCCGGGCGTACCAACGACTCTTGAGACATTTGTTCAGATTGGGACAGGCCTCGAAACCGATCGCAAAGTGTCGATGAGAGAAAAGACCAGGGATGTATAGTCGGAAACTAGTGCAGTTGATGAATGCCATCGTTGAAGAAGCTACTGATGGTTCCAGCGAAGTGGAGCTCGAACTCCGCGCGGGAGCCCCACATTTCCCGGTCGGCAGAACCTTCCGCCGCCCAAAATTTCGAGCCGTCCCAGGTACTTTCCAGCGCAACTTCCACATCTCACTCTGCCACAATTTACTCGCCTCCAAACACCCGTCACGATGTTCGCCGTGCCCGGATGGAACGTTGCCGCGCAGGTGAAGACTCAGGTCGAAGTACCAAAGCCGAAAGACTCTACAAAACCTGGAAAGAAGGCGCAGAAGAGGAAAGAGAAGCGCGAGGAGCAGCAGGTCAATGCAGACAATCTTGCAGAGCAATGGGACAGCATAGCCAATGGAAAAGGTGCGGAGGTGGAGAAGACCGAGAAGACCAAGAAGCCAGAGGCAGCAAGTGTAGAGGCGACAGACGAGGCAACACAAGACAAGCGTGGAAAGAAGAGGAAGAGGGGAAAGGCTGGAGGTAACAAAGACAAGGAGGCAGACGCATATGGCGCAAAAGAAGTGGACGCGGATACGGCGGCGGTAGCTGAGCCTGCAGAGGCTAAAGCAGATGCTACGAAGTCTGCTGAAGAGAAACCCGCAACAGCCGACAGCGAGGCAAAGCGCGAGAAGAAGAAGCGCAGGAAGGAATCCAAAGCCGACAAACTCCTCACCGCAAACGCAAACGGCACGAACCCCGCCTCCGCAGCTCCCGTCTTGGAGAACCTCCTCCCCGAGCCTAAGGGCCTCACACCTCTCCAGCGATCGATGCGCAGCAAGCTCGCCAGTGCGCGGTTCCGTCACTTGAATGAAGCGCTTTACACAAAACCCTCTGCGGACAGCGCGTCTCTGTTCAAGGAAGACCCGTCGATGTTCGAGGACTACCATCGCGGTTTCGCACAACAGGTCGAAGTATGGCCATCGAACCCCGTAGACGGCTACGTCAACAGCATAGTAGTACGAGGCAAGCTACGGAACAAGGACATACGAAAAGACCGAAGAGGCCCACCAAAGAACGCAGTTCGCAGAGGCCCCGGTTTCGAGGAAGAAGAGACCACAGCCATCGCACCACCCCGCGGAGACGCGAAGCCGCTTCCCCGGGACTTCAAAGGCCACTGCACCGTCGCCGATCTAGGCTGCGGAACAGCCTCCCTATCCTACCGCCTCCAACCTCATCTCAAATCGCTCAACCTGACATTCCACTCCTTCGACCTCTCCAAACCCACCGGTCCCTCCGCCGACCTTGTAACTATCGCCGATATCTCCGCGCTGCCCATCTCTGAAAACAGCGTCGACGTCGCCATCTTCTGCCTCGCCCTCATGGGCACAAACTGGCTCGATTTCATCGACGAAGCATACCGTATCCTGCGCTGGAAGGGAGAACTCTGGGTTTCAGAAATCAAATCGCGCTTCGGGCGTGTGGACAAGAAGAAGGGCGGTGTACCTATCAACTCCATTGGTTCTCTCAAGAAGACTATGGATAAGAAACCTGCAAAGAAAGCTAAGGCTGATAAGCCACCTGAGGAGGGACCTGTCGATTCGGAAGACGAGGCCGAGCTCGCGGTCAATGTAGATGGCCAAGAGGGTAAAGAAGGAACGGATGTTTCTGCGTTTATTGAAGTGCTGCGGAAGCGTGGATTCGTTCTTGATGCTTTACCTGAGAGGCCTGGCGATGCGATTGATTTGAGCAATAAGATGTTTGTCAAGATGCAATTTGTCAAGGCAGCGCATCCGAGCAAGGGCAAGAACGCGAAGGAAGATCAGAAAGCGGGGGCTGTGGCGCAGAGGGGTGGTGGTATGAAGTTCGGACTCAAGGGGAAGAGGTTCGGTGCTGGTGATGGAGATGACGAGGGCGATGCTAAGGATGGTGCGGTCCTGAAGCCGTGCTTGTACAAGATTAGGTAGACATGGGAGTGCATTGTTACGATAAGCGCGTTGAGGGGCGTTGAAAGCCTTTCTTCATTTGATCTATCTTATCTTCGTAAAACTACGTTAATGCATATGAAGCTTCTTCGCTTCTAATCCTGTTCCCTGGTAATACATGCATGCTATCGATGCCATGTCGTGAGTTCGTCAACTCATGTCCTCGTCATCGAGACTCCTTTGAACTGTTCAGATCTTTCCAAAGGGTTAAATCCTACTGGGTGACACTACAGCGGGCGTAGGCGAGCGCCATGTGATCCTGATCTTATGGTGCTGTGGTCGTCTCGTTGACTAACCACCGAGAAGGAAACTTGCAGCATGCTCAACATTGCCTCCGAACATCTCCAGTGCTTGTATGGCTTCCTGTTCTGAACAGCCAAACATGCCAGTGAGTTGCTGGATGTTTTCCTGAGGGAAGTTGCTCGTGGGTGCAGATGCTACGGGCGCCTTGGACGCTGTGGGTTGGGCTTGCGGCTGCGCTGGTTGAGATGATGAGGATGATGCGCCTGCATTTGAAGGACCAGCTGCAGCGCTACCTTTCGGTCGAACGGCACCAGTCTTCGCACCAATCTCCTCTCCGTTGGGACCTTGGACAGTTGGCTCGTTCATTTCCGCCTCCTCGAAGCTCCTGGGAATTTCCGACTCGTGCAAGAAGGGGACTTCCTGACCTTCAAAGCAGAGGGCGTTCTTCTCGAGATCGATCTTGGCGCGGTAGCGCTTGAGCATGTCCAGACCAAACAGTAGGTCGACGTCCTTACCCTCCATGACTGTGAAGGCGCAGGGCATGACCGCACCTCCGATCTTGATCTCGGCGTGATGTACACGACCCAGAATACGGGCTGTGCCGACACCGCGTGCCATACCAGCATATCGGACGTCCATCAGGCGCATGATACCACATCGCTCAGCACAGTCGGGGGACATGATGGTGGCCTGGGCGCCAGAGTCGACGAAGGCCTTGACAGGCACGCCATTGACCTCGGTGTTGACGTAAAGCATGTGTACGCGCGTAAATACTGTGACATGTTAGCGACTATCCAAAACAACCCCTCACTTGTATCATCCCATAGGTCTATCCGCCGGTCGAAGTTGACATACCTTCGGGGTTCTCGTCGTATGCCTTTTGCAGGTTCTCGACTACGCGGTCCTGGCGGATGATGTCTTCTATCTTTCGTTGCGCCTCGACGTTGAAAGGGTCTTCGTTGAGGAGGGCAATCTGGTTCTGGCGCTCGCGCTCCGACTCCTCGGCCTGTCGTTGCCTCATGGCATATGTATCTCTCCAGCGGGTGGGGTCGTTGACGGCGGCGGCGAGCTCCGGGTCGCCCTGGCGCAGCTTGTTCATCTGCTGGGGGTCGTTGAGGACAAGCTGTCGCACGCCTTCTGGATCAGGTTGCGCGGGCCTGCCCGGCTGCTGGAGGTTCCTGTTTGGTCGAGGTGCGGCGCGCATCACGACGGCCAGCATCTCGCCGTCCCGTATTCCGGCGTCCTCTAGTGTCTGTGTGTCTACGGCTACCGGCTGGCCGTTCAGGTAGAGGCTCTGTGACGCGGCGGGCAGGCTGGTGTCGGCCTCGATGAAGCCCTTGAGGTCCTTGACGGTGCTGCCGGGGGGCAGTTCGAGTGTCAGCAGGTCCGTGTCGGCCTGGGTGCCGGGCGCGGTGATGGATATGGTGACGCGAGGCCTGGCGGCGTGTGTTAGCAGCGTGCTGGGGGTGGTGGCACAACCACGGCTCCGGATCGACTCACATGGTGGCTCGGAGCGGGCCTGGGGCGTATGCGGGCACGTCTGGATGAGGCCAAAGAATGTGACACGGTGGGAGGTGAGGTTGGGTTGGGTCGGGTCGGGTCGGGGCAACGGTGTCTCGGTGCGCAGATGCTTATAGGAAGGAGGCACTGGGCCGTGATGGTCTGGTCGCAACCTGGGACTGGAACGGGCCGGAGGGTCCTCGCAGTGAGAGAGGGAGAGGGCACGTCAGTCGCCGCCTGCTGGGCTGGAAGGGAATGGAACGTAGTGGAGCCGCGAACCCAGCGTCGGATGAATCAGCGATCAGAGGGCACAGGCTGCATGTTGTGAGAGTTTCGCCTGGGCCACCAAGGCTGTCACTCGTAATATACCACCAACGTCGGGCTGGGGCGTAGGCGGAAGGCGCGCAGTCGAAGGAGTAGTACTACTGCATCCAAACCACGACGTTGGCGGTGTAGGCCCAAGCATGGCCACAGTAAGCGGGGCAGCCGACGCGCGGGAGAGGCTAGACAGTGCAGACAGTCGCGTCGATATGAATGAACGCGGTCTCTGCTCGAAGCCACGGCGTCTCTGCCATGCTATTGTCCTGGGCTGACTATGCGGCCAGCCTGGTCAATATCTCCGCGGGGGTGCTGTTCATCCCGGTGCATACCCAGAGCTTACTCCAGCTACCTGGATAGCATAATGTCTGGGATGCTTCAACTCCTGCCCAACGCATGCACGAGAATCATCTGGCCGCTGCGCCCTACGGCTAGCCCCTGCAAAGGATTCCATGAGCTGTAGCTCCATGCCACCAGGTGTTGCCATACCCCACCGACATCATCCTACTGCACGTCATGGTAAATCCCATCGCCACACCATCGCTAGTCAGGGCATGGTCGATAATCCACGAATCTCGCCATCGCAAGTTATTGCTTTTTGAGACGCAAGCAGGAATCTAGAAGAGTGAATCCCATACCAGCCATAACACACGCATATCCCCGCCTGCTCCTTTGGGCCATCTGCCACCCAGCTAACCCGGAACGATCTGCAACGGCAGGCGCGAAGCGAACCGCTAGTAAAGGCGGGGCTGAGGCCGCAGAGAGTCTCGTGAGTCCTCCAGGAACCACCAACCCAGACTCACCACTGCACTCCGGCTTCCTGTAGTCGCATCAACCGACCCTCCTGCCGTACCATTATCATAACACCGCTCCATCTGACCTGTCCAAATTACCGCCAAGATGCCACGAGACTTGCTAGCAGACAAAAAGACGCTCGATGGCATGCCCGAACTATCAAGAGAGCCTGAGACTGTCGCTAGCCCAGAGTCCGTGGAGCAGCAATCGAGTTTGGTGCCTCATCGCAGTTCCAACATCGCCCAGGAGGGGAGACTCAAGCAGATGGGCGTCCGGCCCTACGCTTCATTGCTCAACATCGACGACCTGGATGATTGCGATTGGCTCGAGCATGCGGCCTTTGATCCGGTTGAAGCTGCATCGCGCGAGAAGGTGAGAACGATTGCTTTCATCGACGTTATCTCGGACATCATGGTCAATGCCTGCATTTTCTGCTCAGTACCACCATTGGGCTCTGTCAGGCACGAGCCATGCGCTCTTCTCCATGATGATGTTACTCAAACTATCAAGTGCCCACACTGTCTTTTGCCCTGTTTCTTATCAATTGTTTCACGAAACACCAATATACCTCTTACGTCGTTCATCGGATTCAATTGAGTTTGCTATGCGCTAGTCGCTCGCTCCTTCCCTTCCCTCGCTCATGTGCTGCGCTCTTTCCTTCCGATCTCTTCAAATTCCGCGCTAACCTACCACAGCTCGAGTACCGTCTGCGAACCTGTGGTGAGCTCTGCAGTGGCCTCTTCTCTTCCGCCTACCCCACCACGTCAGGACCATTAGGCGAGACCATCAAGTTGCACTCTTTCCCATCAATAGACTCAGCAGACACGGACCGGAAGCGCGTGATAATTGGTCACGTTATCTCAACCAAAGCAAACTCCCCTCTTGTCACCGATGATGCCATGGACTACCCCAAGGATTGGAAAACCAATTACCAACTCACGCCAAACGTAGGCCACAACGAAGACGGTCAGACAGTTTGTCTGCACTCATTATGTGTACATCCAAACTTTGCGCGCAAAGGTCTCGGCTCAATATTACTGCAGAGCTATGTGCAGAGGATCAAGGATTCAGGTGTGGGTTCTAGAATAGCGCTCATCTGCAGAGACCGGTATATACCTTTCTATGAGAAAGCGGGATTCAAGAAGATCGGACCCAGCAAGTGCCAATATGGTGGAGGGAACTGGGTAGATATGGTGCTGGACTTTGAAGACAGTGGGGATGACGGATGGGAGTACTAAGAGGTATGCTCAGATAAAAGCGGGCCTTCTACAGTCTGGCATACAATCACGTCCGTAGATGTTTGAGCGATTCAAGAGCGTGTAGAATGGAACAAAAGGCATGTGCAAGATTTAGATGTTCACGCGCACTGTATCCGCTACATATCTGTCGTTGACTAATCGCCCATTCAGCCTCGCTTATTAAACCAGCCTGCTTAGCTCCTGCCCTCAGACTTCGTTCAGCCGTAGGCAGCTGCGCCTCAGCCTCGTCTCACTCATCAACCCCGTCAACATTTCCCTCGCTCCTTTATTCTTTTCCTCCTTCCTCCCTCCTTCTGACTGCATTGATGCGCACCATGTTGCACTTGTTGGCGACCGACCCCACACATCGTTTCCCATCATGTCCACTCTGTACGAAGACACTCCGCTCCACATCGATGCCAGCACGAACATTCGACTGCTTGAAATTATTCAAGCAGATGACGAAACGGCTCCAATAGCTTGCACTCTTCGCGTAATCGCTCTTCAGGAATCGCCCAAATACACCGCGCTTTCGTACGTCTGGGGCCCACCGACACCCGCAAGAGAAATTTTAGTCAACGGGAAGCCTTTAACCGTACGCGAAAACCTTTGGAACTTCCTTCATCAAGCCAGGAAAGATCGGGCGGCGTGCGCCCTGTGGGTAGATGCTATCTGCATTGATCAAGATAGCAATCCAGAACGGACTCATCAAGTCTCTATGATGGGAAAGATCTACTCGAAAGCTGAGCTCGTCATAGCTTGGCTGGGAACTGCTACTAAATACTCGGCTCAATGGGAACGTGCCATGAAAACGATACCACCTTTTCACAACGACGGCCAGGGCAATTTTAAACGCTGGTATAAGGTATACGGTCCTTGCGTTATGGATCTCTTCAATTCGCCATACTGGAGTCGGGCCTGGATTGTACAAGAGTACACTTTAGCCTCGGAGAGGGTTTTGTGGTTTGGCCCTTACACATCCACTGGCGAATCGGTCTCCTTTCTCTGCAACACCTGGGGGGGCTTTTTGGAAACCCATGGAGTCAAAAAGAGGGCACATTTCATGAATTCTATGGCAATCAGAGTAATCGATGAATCAATCGAGGTAGCTAGAGGTAGTCTTAACCTGGTGGAAAAGGTCTCTTCGTTTGGCTTGCCCGGACGAGCCCTTCACTGTGCAGATCGACGCGATAGGGTATACTCATTATTGGCACTGTGTGATTCGCAGCAGCTTACAGAGAACTGTATAACGCCTGACTATTCTAAGTCCCTACTCGAACTATACAACCAGCTTGTTCGCATGGTTATTAACGACGAAACATTTGAAGATGTAAAATCAGAATTCATAGGATTCATATTGCCTGTGGCACTGAGGCTTGAAGAGATCGAGTTGGAGAACCTCGACCATGATATGATGGATATCCTGAAAGATCCTCTAAAGCAGTATACATATCACCGAGCAATTGGAGCGGCGTTGAGTGGATGTGGTAGTAAACGGATGGGGCTACTGGAAGATGTGTAACCACGATATTGAGTGTCCGTAAGAAGGATATATCAATATCTGGATGCCGGACAGGTACAATCACTCTGCAAAACGACAAGCCAACCACCGCTCACGCGTACTCACTCCTATCTACCCACGCCGGCTGCAACGCCTTCTCATCAATCTCGCTAAATGAAAACCCACTCTCATACCTCGCGTACTCAATTAACTTGAGCGTATCCAACTTCGCACCAGCCTCAGTCTGCGCCCACATCGCCACACTCAATACATTGTCCCCCCTCATGTTCAGAATACCCGGAGGAATGGGATAACGAGTCTGAGGGCCGATGTGGGGAACGTATTTGCCGTACTGGTAGCCGTTGACAAAGAGGAGCATACGTGCGATAGTACCTTTCGGCGCACCGAGTTCGATGCCGATTGAAACGTCAAGGTCAGAGTCGATGGAGAGGGAGAAGGTGGTTGTGAACCAGCGGATACCGGCGCCTTGGACGCCGTCGGCAGTTGGGCTGGCGTCTTCCCAGGAAGAGGTATCGAAGCCGGGGAGGTGCCAGCCGAGGCGTTCGCCGTAGAGGCCGCCTTCGTTCATAGGTCCTCTGACTGGGTCGATATTGCGTTCTCCGCCTGCATTACCTTGGATCTTCCATTGGTCGAAGGAGAGCTTGGTGTTGTTTCCGCTAAGGAGTTGGGCACCTAGTATACCGCGGGGGTTTTCGGCGCCAGCGGGGCCAGTGGAGGTTTGGTCGTGACCAGTATAGTCGGTTATCACCGTCAAGACGTTCCCGTCGTCTTTCAATGTAATGTTCTTAAACAAGAGCAAGGCTGTTGTCGAAGTGAGTGATGCGTTACCGGGATGGTAACCGATTGATTGCCCGTTGAGCCAAGCACCCCAGCCAGCCGCGACACCACCTTGGACTGTGATGTTGAGAGATGATGCCGTTTTGCCGGAGAAATACCCTCGGTAGATCTTCGCGCCAGTGTAGTACTTGTAATCACTGCTGAAGAGTACGGGTAGGGTGAGTGGCTTCACGGGGCTCAGGGTGGTGTTCTTGTTAGCGACGACCCAGTTGCTGTCATCGTACGAAGGTTGTATCTCAGGCGAAGACCCAGCAGCCTTGAAGTTGGCAAGCTTTGGAAGAGTGATCTCGCGTTCTGCGGTTCCACCGATCTTCGCAGTGAGAGAACCATAGGGAGTCTTCGTCGTAGCGAGCTTCTTTCCATTCCAGGATATCGCTTCCGCATCAGAACCGGCGTATACCTCGATAGTCGTCGCGTTTGCATTGTCGCCAACAACGGAGACTGTGTCGCCTGATGCAATGGCTGAGCGGACGAGATATGGCCCGAGCACGAAGATCTGGTGGTCGGGTGTGACGTTCGGGTCATCTGTCGTTGATGGGGCAAAGAAGGTCCATGCAGTCGGTATATCAAGCATATAAGCAAGTACGCCGTTGGAGAACTCAATGACTGTCGCGCCCTTGCTTTGAGTGTACGAAAAGGCTGAGTAGGTGCCGTTGGCCGGCTTACTCGCAAGGTCTGACTCCGTACCGTAAGCCTTGAACGTTACGTTGCCCTGCGATTTGAACGCAAACTCTCCTGTCTGACCTTCACGGGTGTAGAATACGAGGATAGGTCGATCAAAGAGGCCGTAGGTAGCAATCTCAGCTGACGAGTAGAGCAGTGTTTCGTCACCCACAGCATAGTCCGTGACTACCCATCGACTCTGACGGCCCGCAAGCTGCATGCTCGGGATCTTGACATCGCCTTCAGATGTCTTGATCGTTATGGAGAAATCGGTAACAGCGCGGGTACGAGTGTTGTTGTTCTCGGCAAGGTAGAATCTCCCCTCCGTATCGCGGCTTTTGAGCTGCCAAGTCCAGATTGCGGAGTTGTCGACCGCGTTTGCGGTGCCGTTGTTCTCCATAAACGTGTTGTGAAGTCCCTTGCTGACACGTGTGAATAGTGCAAGGAGTTTGTACTGCTTGAACTTGTCGCGTACTTCTCGTGTCTCGCGTAGCGGCGCGTCGTAGTCGTAGCTAGTGTACACAACAGGAGCTGCAGAATGGCCCCAGTTCGTGCCGCCGTATGCCATGTACAAGTTTAGAAGGCTAGCTCGCTGTCCGATCAAGCCCTTGTAAAAGACATCCGCAAACTCAGGACTCTGTTCGGCCAAGCACTGATCGAAGAAGTAACCGCCCCATGGTTGGAACCAGCCGCCTTCAAATTCGGGTAGATACTCTGGCTGAGTGGGGGAAACCTCTTGGAACCATTGGTAGTACGTCCTGGGCAGGTTAAATCCAGTGTCGAGATTCGTGCAGCTCATGCCACCAGGATAGCTGTCCAGACCGTAAACATTAATCGCACCACCGACATTGTTGTAGTCAGTAGACCAACTCTTCGACCTGAAGCCCTTCTCGTTGTGTGACAAAGGCACGATGATACCCGCTTCTTTGAAAGCGGTCTTCAACTGTTCCATGTAAATGACTAGAGTGTTGTTGGCTTCGTAACGGGTTTGTTGCAGTTCGTTCTCGACTTGTGCTAGGATGACAGGTCCGCCGTTGGTAATCTGGTTCTTTGCGATGATCTCGCCAACTTCCGCTATCCATTCCGACCAGGCTTGTCTGTATGTCTCATCCGAAGTTCTGTACTTGCCACCACTTCCGTCGCTGGTCCATAGAGCAAAACCACCTCCATTTGTCTCTGCGTTACAGTATGGACCTGGTCGTGCGATGACGTAAAGTCCGGCTTCCTTGGCCATATCAAACAGGCGCTGGATATCTTTCCCCGGTGTTGTGAAGTCGTATGCGCCTTTCGATGCCGAATGGTACGACCAGAAGAAGTAAATTGAAACGGCGTTCATGCCGTTCGCCTTGAACTTCTGGAAGACGTCGAGCCATAGCTCAGGTACTGGGAGGCGAGCATAGTCTGGTAGATGCGAAAGTTGAGTTAGCACTCATCTCATTTACCCTTTATTCATCTCAAATCATCAACGTACGGAATTCCCCACTCATGATCATGACGCGCTCGCCATTAACCATGAGCGATCCATTATCCCACTCCACATCCGTTTGCAGGCCATTATCGGTCGCCAATACACCAAAGAACAGCGAGATCGCGACAGCAAACAGATGAAAGAACCGCATCTTGACTTCCTCGGTGATGAAGAAAAGTCAATGAGACGCGACGCGACTTTTGTTCTACGACATAGCTCTCGATCTCGCGTGCAACTAGCCCGTGGACTTCAGCCGCGGCCAAAGATCGCCATCCGGACATGCGCGTCGCGGAACGATCTCATTGACGGTATAATGTTTGCCATGGAAGAAATGCTCAGCGGGGTAATATGCAAGGTACTAGCGACCCCAGATGTGTGGCGTTTGCGGAGGCGGGTGGAACGTCATTTGCCCGAGATGCCGAAGGCGCGTGAAGGAAGCTTGCGCCAGCGGGAAGGTTACCACAACGGGAAGGGAGGAAGTATGTGCACGTCATGGAAGCACAAGACATGTAATTTGCACCCTCTGCTGGTGTTCAGTAAACACTTACAGGTCTTGTCAGGAGACATCGTGAGGTGGCTGGGAATAACGCAGATTCCCAATCTATGGCCGGTGGACGTACTAGCCATTTCCGGCACGCTACTTCACACGATGGAAGAGAGCTTTCCCACACCACTGCGCTGAAGTGGGCTGGAGCAGAGTCAAGCCTTTTAGTTTCCGTTCTTTCCGAGGCTTGTCACGCAACTCTGGCTATGCATTGACATGTTCACGAGGGTACCTTCGAACGACAGGCTTGGAAAAGTGGAAATCGGGCGGGTCCCACTCATTGGAGGATTTTCCGAAACAAATCTCCCCTGACCACACCCACGCACTGAACAAGCGTTGCTTCGAGCGACCAAGTCCTTCTCATCTCTTCCTCTTGCTCCCCACTTGGTGGAGGATCTCGAAACAATCCCTCATCTGTCAGTATGGAGAATCTTGAATCGGGAAATTATGATCCCGTCAAATGTAGATTCGATGTATCAGTAATTGGCTGGTGGCTAAGTCATTCATCCGTGTGTATCATTACTAGGAATTCGTATATATGTGTGGCGTACCAAGCATGTAGGCCAAGCAACCAAGCACTTCGCACTCTCTTTTAAGCCTTTCTTCAAATCAATCATCTTTCACAATGGTCGCCTGGACTCTTGGTATCTTCTTCACGTCGCTGGCGGCGTCCGCTGCGGCAGCCCCAGCCCCGGCGATCACTCCTGCACCCAAGCCCGAAGTTGTGAAACGTGCCTCCAGCTGCACCTTTTCGGGCTCCAACGGAGCTGCTGAGGCTTCTAAGTCGCAGTCATCATGTGCTACCATGGTCCTCTCGGACGTTGCTGTTCCTTCAGGCACTACTCTGGACCTCTCCAGCTTGGCTGACGATACCACCGTCATTTTCGAGGGTACCACAACTTGGGGCTACAAAGAGTGGAAAGGGTAAGCAATATCCAAATACAAATGTATTAGATATGCACTGACTTCATGAACCAACTCTCAGACCTCTTCTTGACATTCGTGGAACCAAAATCACTGTCAAGGGTGCCGAGGGATCCGTCCTCGATGGTGACGGTGCTCGCTGGTGGGACGGTGAGGGCGGAAACGGTGGAAAGACCAAGCCCAAGTTCTTCTCCGCACACAAGCTCACCGACTCCTCCATCACTGGCATTACCATCAAGAACCCTCCCGTTCAAGTAGTCAGTATCAACGGATGTGACGGTCTCACCATTACCGACATGACCATCGATGCTTCGGAAGGCGACAAGGACGAGCAAGGTCACAACACGGATGGCTTCGACATTGGCTCGAGCAGCAACGTCATCATCGACGGTGCAAAGGTCTACAACCAGGATGATTGTGTTGCCGTGAACTCTGGTACCGTATGTATCCCCTCTTTGGATTGAGATGATGACACCCGCTAACAATACGGATAGGATATCACCTTCAAGAACGGTCTCTGCTCTGGTGGACACGGTCTCTCCATCGGCTCTGTCGGTGGTCGTGACGACAACACGGTCGATACGGTCACCTTCTCGAACTCCGAGATCACCAAGTCCGTCAACGGCGTCCGCGTCAAGGCTCGCGCTGGCACGACCGGCAAGATCAACAAGGTCACCTACGAAGACATTACCTTGTCTGAGATCTCCAAGTATGGCGTCCTCATTGAACAGAACTACGACGGTGGTGACCTCCACGGTGACGCTGATACTGGCGTCCCCATTACCGGTTTGACGCTCGACAACGTCACTGGTGACGTCTCCAGCAGTGGGTACGACGTTGTCGTTACCTGCGGAAAGGGCTCCTGCACTGGCTGGACCTGGACAGATGTTTCCGTAACTGGCGGCAAGACCTACGACAAGTGCTCCAACGTACCCAGCGTTACCAAGTGCTCGTAGATGGTAGTTGTAGCCTTTTTTGGTGATGGCTTGCGCCTTTCTCGTCTGGGGTGACGCACATTCCATTCTCAGTTCTGGCATGTCGTCAGAGCTTCGCAGTCATTCCTTTTGCTGCGCTGCAAATATCCTTTTCTCTTTTGCATCTTCAGAAGACCGCAATATACTCTTATCTTGAACCTGTATGTGCAACGAGTGCCTTCCACGAATGAATTTTGATTTGATTTGATGTAGCGACGACGTGGTGTCGGATTCGTGGGTGTTTGGCCATGCGAGACCGTGCTCATGGTTTCTACTGTCAGCGGCGGAGCCGGGCCTCGTAGAACTGGGCAGGTAAGCGACATGTCGCGAGATGGAATCCAGCATGACTGAGATCTCTTTCGCACGTTAACCAGCGCAACTAAAATTAGAAAGAGCTTTAAGAACATTTCCTGTATCAAATCAAGTTGTCTTGGTTGCATTGGCACACTGTTCTAGATGTTGATGCGCTACGTCATGCCCCCAAGCTTCCGGTCGTGGAGCCGACGCTAGAGCGGCTCGCGGCGGCAGCCACACCAACGCGCGCGTTTCCATCCCTTATCACCAACTTAACGCGTTAACGAAACGCGTCAAAATGTACCTCAATTTCAGTATCAGCCTGGACGAAACGCTACTTGGTCTCCATCATCTTTACCACACTCCTGAACTTCACCCGGCTAATGCGAACTCGTGTACCTTGCTTCTTCCAAACCTCTCCTCCCAGAGATCTTCTCATTGATCCCATAGCGATGTAGTGCCTCTTCCGAGCCGAAGTACTTCACGGTTTCCGTTACGAGCTTCGCGACTGCCACGACCTCATCTTTTGCATCCGGTGTGGCCTCTTGCAATGTTCGACTCAATCTCTTCAGATTCTGGATTTGCAGCTCAATGCCGTCTAGGCTGGAATGAATGATGGAGCTCAAGGTTTCGGTAGGGTCTGGTTCACCGCTGATATTCTAAGTCAGAGAATTTTCCGTCGACGTCTCGAAAGCACATACCTGTCGTCATCCCCGTCCTCGAATAACGTCTCGTCGTCGATCTCAGGAAGCTTTTTGAACTTCAGGTCCCTTGGCTTGGCCTTGGAGCAAGCGTCGTTTAATTCTGCCACCAGATACAACAGGCGGTCTAGGCTTCGCGATGCAGCGTCCACGACTTCTCTCTTACGCTTATCCACCGTAGCCATACCGTCGAGATTCGCAAGATGAGCCCACACTTGCAGATCGAAAGCAAAAGCTTTAGTGTGTTCTACTATCTTGTCGAACGTGAGATCCTGAGGTTCCGCAGCCTCGACATCCATGTATGGAGAACACGTGCTACTGATCTGGTCCAGTTTGTTTTGTAGCGTCGCATACTGATACTGAAGCTCGGGTCGTGCAGTGGGTGATCTTGGGCTAGCGCTCGGACTTCGCTTCGCCCTAAAAGCCTGACCGCTTGTGGGCAATGGTGGATTGTCCTGGTGGATTTCCACTTTGATGCTTGGTTTCTTCTGGTGCTGTGGCTTGCCTTCGTACCTTACCGGTAGTTGACTTGACAGGACTGGCTCGTTGGTCAAATCGTAGCCGGAAACTGGTATCGCGCTGGGCCGGACCTCCTGAGTGTTGTATCGTCGTTCTGACCTTCTGTCCCTTTGACCAGCTTCTGAACTCGATCGCATCCTCCCAGTAGTTTCGAAGACGGGGACGCCGAGTCGGTCAGGCGTTGTAGGAGAGTTAGAAATTCGTGGAGATGAGGCTGTACCATGCCGACTGTCATGATAACGTTTCATTTCTTGTTCGCGACTCCTTCGATCCCATCTCGCCTTTTCTTCTATGGTATCGACATAGCCTCCTGAGCGCGACCGAGTATGACTGGGATTCCGATGACGTTCGTCGACTTCTAGGAAGTCGGTTGAGATGGTCGCCATCGCACGGAGTCGCAACGAATGGAGGAATGGAGATGATCAAAAGCTTTTTACGTGGTACGAACAAAGGCAGGTATGTGTCTATAGCGAAGAAACCTGCTGCTGTGGTATGCATGGAACGTTCTGTCCGGTACTGCACCCAGTGTCAAGAGAAATTTGTCAGTGGGGTCGAGAACTCAACAGAAACGAAAAGATGTAGGAATGCCACGCTCATATGAACAGTGCGACCCAATTGCCTGATCAGGCAGCTGACTTCAGACGCCTTTGGGGGCCGTTGGGGGCTGAGCACCACCAAACGGTAACGTCATCCCTGTGCCGCTATGCATGGAGCCAATTCCGACCAATGTCACCTCAATACCCCACACCAATGCCGGCGAGCTGATGTTCGCATCTGTTCAGCCGCAATAGTTCGTGGGTCATGAGGCCGCCCATTTAATGTCGAAAATACTTCAGGCCGCCGCCTCTAAAAGATGGCCCAGCCCCCATCCGACCGCGCTGATATTCTGGACTCGCACTACATCCTCCACGAAATTGCACCATACAGTTCCTGCGCTCGGCAGCTGTTGCTGTTACACGACTCAAAGTTTTCCCGACTGTGCCGCACGCGAATTTACTGCTCCTTAGTGTCATAGAAGATACATCTCAACCGCACCTTCAACGCGACCCAACACTCCAGCTGGACGAGCCATGGCTGAAGTTCTTGGCGTTATCTCTGGCCTCTATACAGCAGGACAGGCTCTACACACCTTTGCCCTTGAAATCAGACAATGGAGACGACTATCCGAACGACTCTTCGACATCAAAGAAGGGCTTGACTTTGCGAAACTATCTCTAGACAGCTGGCAACAGAAATATGACATCCAAGTGCATCGACCCGATGTTCACACCAGGATCCTGTTTGGAAAAGAAGGGCACGAAAGGATTACAGCCACAATCGGTACTGTGAATGTGATCACCGGAAGTATCAAGACCGACATCAAACGAGTCAGGGGCCTTGCCCTTAATTTCGAGTCCAGGAGAGGATATTATGGAGAAACTCAGCACTTGAGTAACGAGGATCGGGTCAAGGAGTGCCTTTGGAGAATTCGCCACAACACCACATGGTCGCGCAGATTCGAGTTGAGCGTCCTTGGAAAAGCGAACGATCTAGAAGAGCGTCTCAGGCGATTGTATCAAAAGCTTACCATGCTCGAACGTTTTACCGACTCTTACCTCGAGCGAGAGCACGCAGAGATCTTCACGGAAGTCAAGCGACTCCCTGGAAGGCGAGTGATAATCAAGGTCGGAGACGGAAGGACGGATACGATACAGAGCAGGGTTCTGGACGCCGTTCGCGCCCAAAAAGATGCTGAGCGATTACATCGATGCAGCGACTCCAGCCGGGACAATCGACTACATCTCGGGTTATCCATCCCTCGCATTCATAAGCGCGACTTCGCGTTCTTGCTCAACATGAACGGGGCAAGCCATGAGATCATCGTCCATCCTGTGACCCTTAAAACTATCTACGAACCAGCTTTGGTGCCGAAGAATTTCGCTACTGCTGTGTCAAGTCTCATGAACAGGACGCAGGATGACTGCTACATGATACCTCCTTTGTCAACATCAGCAGGCTTCACGGTCAAGAAACCACCAACAAACCTTCTCTCTGACTTGCAGTACAAGGAAGCCCTATCGAGTGTGATTCGCGATCAGAACGTCTACCTCGGCTCACAAACGCTATACTCTCAAGACCAAAATGCAGTAGCGACTGGCATCGCCCAAGGCTGTTTCCGATTGATAGGAAGCCAATGGTTGTCATTCCTCGACTGCTCGAATATACGCTGGCGGAGAACGAAGGATGGGAAGTGGGCTAGCATGCTGACCGCAGCGCCTGGCTCGTCGATGACAACACGTACCCTGAACCAATGTTACCAAATGAATCGCCAAAGGAGAGATGGTCGCGATCTCTCCAAACACATCCAAATCTTCCGCATCGGACTCGTCCTCGCTGAGATAGCACTCAAATCACCATTTTCGTACATCGATTTCGACACCGCGACCCACAAGACACGCTTGTACATCAACGATGGCGAGGAGGTCGGTGCTCACGATGTCGCATCGCAGGTCGAGTTGAGGAGCAACATGTTATTGGGAAACATGGTGTTTTTCTGCCTTAATGTACTGCAAGACAATGATGTTATGGCGGAGAAGAGCATCGAAAGTAGCTATTACCAGGATGTACTCGGGCCGGCGGAAGAGCTGGAAAGGTTCTTCGGGGCTGACAGGCGAAGAGGTGGCTTGAGCCCAGGTTCGAGCCCAATGGGGAGTGGAGCGAACACGCCAAGATCAGCTAGGAGTTCATATGTGTATTGATGTTGCGCTCGCTTTTGCGTAGTCTTATTTTCCCTTGAGACCTCCGCTCCACAGTGTTGTCTGATGTACTTTCCGCGTCACCACATACGATTTTAATGTAACAATAATCTTAAATAACATCAAAGTCTCAATGAGGAGTACATTCCCATGAATGCGCTGAGTACTGAGTACCAACACTAGTGGGATTCAGCTGCCAAGTAGCGCGGACTTCAAGATACAGCACTGGTCAGCCGTGGCGCTGTAGTTAACACGGAAGGACACGAAATACGAGTGATGACTGAGTAGTGTTCCGAGCGAGGCGCTGCGAAGAGGTGATGTAGCACCCTATTGAGCAATTGATGAGACGATCAGAGACAGGTGTGCCAGGCTAAAGCACCGCGTTGAATTTGTACCAAGACGCCCTCGCTATGCATTAGATACCAGGTGAGACATGAGAACCCTCTTCCGCAGACTGTTCGTCTTAGACGGCGAAGCTCTGCTCATCCTTCCTGGGCCCCAACCCCCTCTTCACACCATCCTTCAAACTCTCCCAGTTCACACCATCAATCCTGCGTCCGCGTGTGCCCATATCAGACGCGACATCACTCAACTTGCCTGTGGCAATCCTGCGCATCATAACCAGATCTTGTGCGCTCTGGAAGGTCCTGCCTCTGCCTTCAGTCAGGAACTTCTCGATGAACTCCTCCTCGTCTTCGTTGAACGGCAAGCCCGCCAGCTCAAACGCCTTAGC